TCCTCAGTGCCTGGGACAGTGACCACCCCTGTGGCCCACAGCCCTTTGTTTTTCGAATACCCAGGAGAATACAAAGTTGGAAGTACATGTATCCCTCTTCCTTATCTCCGTGTGGATGCCCCGAAAGCAGAACTCTGTATTTGTATTCTCAGCAGCCTCCTATGTTTATTGAGTACTATAAGTGATCAATAAATCTGATGAAAAAAATTACATAAGATATAAACGAATGAGTAAAGACAAGAAAGCATCACCGTAATGGAACGCACTCTGCTGGCGCATCTGTGAATCCCAACTACCTGCTGTCTAGTCACCTTTCATCCTAAAATGGCTACGGGGTCCTGAGTTTTAGTTTAGATTAAAATCTCACACTATGAGAACGGCACTCAAGTGGGCAACATGAGAGTCCTGCAGTGCTGGAAAGCCCTGCGGACACTACATTTTCTGTGAGGCAGACCTGACCCCTGGCTTAGTCGCTCAGCCGTGGGGAATGACAGACCCTAGTGAGTTGACAAAATACGATGGACGGCTTGTAAAACATTTACCATCCGGCAAGCACCAGTGACCTGCTGCCAGGCTGAGGATGAAGGAGCGAACCAGAGACTGCCCCTGCCATCACAGGGCTCAAAGTCGAGTGAAGGAGCAAAAGAGCCGGGCAGAAAGGTGACTCGAAAAGCCCACCGCTCTGCTGTGAGTTACGCGGGGACACGGAGGGGTGGGCACGGCCTTGGCAGTCAGGTGAGCCTTCCTACGGGAAGTGGTCCTGGCTAGGAGTGGAAAGGGCCAGCTCTGTTTCCTTAAACACACCAGGCTCCTTCTCCCCTCCCAGGAGACTGTGGTCATAGAAGCGGTCATTAGTCACCCTGGGTCAGTACTGTTACAGCAACGTGTCGTTGGGTATCTCTGCCCAACGGGGCCTGTCGACTCGGGGCCTCCCAGGGCAAAGATCCCACCCAGGCTCACCTATCAGTGCGGTTCCTCACGTGTTTTACTCACTGGGGTGGGTGCCAAGGAGGAGGCTGTGTGCACACTCCCGTGTCAGCTCACCCAGGTGGGGTCACATTGGGCTGCAGGCTTGGCGCCCTAACCACTGCCCAGAGGGGCATGGGGTGGGGGGGGAGGGCATCCGGGCTGCGCACTGTGCAGGAAGGAGAATCGATTCCACTCACTAGTTCTTCAAGATTCTCAGTTATCCATGTCTTCATAATGAGCGTGGCTTTCTGATTAAAAAAAATTTTTTTTTAATAGGAGAAGGGAGGGAGAAAGAGAGGCAGAGAAACATCAATGTGTGGTTGCCACTCACATGCCCCCTCAGTGGGGACCTGGTTCCCAACCCAAGCATGTGCCCTGACTGGGAATTGAACCAGCAACCCTTTGGTTCATAGGCTGGCCCTCAACCACTGAGCCACACCAGCCAGGGTGGCTTTATGACTTGAAACATTAGTAGTTCGTTTCAGAAATTTTCTAGGCTTAGAAGGTGGATTCCCTGGTCTGTGGCTTCTGGCCCCAACTTCACCCTTTAGACTTTTGCCCAAGCTCAGTGTTCTGGCACCTTGCTGTTTCCTGGTTCCTTAGAGATGACCAATGGGACTCAACGATCACAGCTACACGTTCCCGCTAACCCCGGAGTGCTTTAATCCGAGCCTACAAATAAAAAGTCCTTTAAAGCCTGGGTCCTTTTATAACTTCACACTTATTGTCACTGCCCTCACCACTAGGGTGACAATATAATTTTTTCATCCAGGCCAGGCCATTTAAGAGTGAGAGGGAGCACTGGTAATAACATCACCAGGACAACAGATATAAACCAGAACTTTACCAAACCGTGATAGATGAGCTTCCTGCTCCTAACCAGATGTTACACATTTTCATGTTTGAATATTATTCTTAAAAGAAATGAGAAAGATCTATTTTCTACCAGGCATCTGTCATCATTACCAAACCTTAATAACTGCACCTTTTTAAAAAGTCACTTTAAGAATTCTTGACATTTTTTTAAATCTAGTCTCTACTCAGTTTTGGTGTCAGTCTGACACTCTTCTTGTAGGTACATGGTCCGATAATAACAGTAGCAACTAATATTTACACAGTTACTATAAACCAGCCTCCATTCTAGGCACCTAACATGTATTAATTCTTTTAATCACCTTGACCCTGTAAGACAGGCAAGGCGGCCATGGGGGCGCGGTGCAAGGGAAGGCTGAGGAAGCCCTGAGTTGTTGACCCCAGTCCCAGCCCAGATAAGAGGCAGCAACTGTATGAACAATAAAAGCTGGAGAAGAAAGAAAGGGAACTAATGCATGGAAAATGAGTAAGTGCCGAACACTGAGAAGCTACTTACTGGAATTAGTTCACAAACCTGAGTGTTAGAGGCCTCGGTTCAAATCCTGCCAATTGCCTCTCTCTGCAGCTCTGCCTTTGTCCAGTTCCAATCTCTGCTTTCCCAACAGGAGCAATTTAATTCCTGCTGCTACTGTTTCAATGCTGTACTCAGGCTATAAATGCCTCTAGGATCCTTACTGTCCTGACCACCCCCATCGTACAGAACAGGCGGTAAACCGTTTCCCACACCATCATTTACTTCTTCAATGACTCAGTTCCTCTACCCTCTCTCTTCCAAGTCATGCCTTCTAACTGGAGAAAGAGAAATATCTTTACCTCCGAATTCTGAAATTTGCAATGCATGACTTCCGTGTCCTAAAGACGTTCTCCTGATTTCTTCTGCTGTATCCTTTACGCTTATGTTAATATACAAAAGTGAGTACCTAGCAAAGGCTTGATATGTCTTAGAAAGCCTCTCCCCATTTGAGTGCATAGCCCTGAAAGACCGTAGAACGCGCACACTGTGACCTCACCTGGGAGTCACAGCAGGAGCGTAGTTGCTTCCCCTCTTCTCGTCACTGCACTTCACACCGAGAAATACTCCAAGAGGCAGATGACGTGGTCCCCGCCACAGCCCAGCTGAGGAAATCACACCCCCACAGATGAAAGGAGTGTGCACAAAGGAAGCTGGGAAACACTGCGATGGTCGACAGCTAGTCACGCACAGATGGGAGACTGGACCATGAAGGCCTTGGACACGGAGGTCACTTCCATGATTATTTTCCCAGTGGGTTTGCAAGAAATATTTACAGAACACATAGCAGGACAGGAAGAGAGCAGTCATTACATATGAAACAGGATTTCATGGCAGACAGACAAGAAAGCGCAAGTCATTTCTCACGTGTGGGAAAGGAAGGCAAATACGCCAAGTATACCTACAATCCAGGTACGTGTGAGGTTACTACTAACTTCCCTGGCAATGAAAGCATAGGAAGAATTCAAGAGGGTAATAACAGTTTTATAACAAATGCAATACATTAGCTCCTTTAACCAAAGAATTAAATTAAAAAGCATATACAACCACCCTAGTCTGCAATCCCATCTGACCGGGCTGCATCACTCACGCTCACGTCCCGGATTTTTCTCTAATCACACTATCATCTTTCATGCTTTGAACTCACTGGACACGTAACCCCTCTGCCTCCTGACAGCCTGCACCCCCGTCTTCAGCCAGGCCTGGTCTTCGCTGGGGTACTGCCCAAGCGCCACCTGCCACAAAGCCTTGCCCTGCTTCTCCAGGCAGAGCTAGTCACTCTATCCTGTGTGCTCTCGTATTACTTTGTTCTCTCCTCTTTTAGGGCACTTACCAGGTTTGATTGTGACTGACTTGCTTCAGGCATCTGAATTCATGAGGCTGAATTGCTTACAAGGGTGGATTCTATGGGTCTGATATTTTCCTATGCGTGGCCCTGGCATCCAATACACACAAAAAGCATTCAGTTGCGTGTCGTAGAATGAGTGCATTTATTGCATGTCTCCTTACAAGCACTGCTCAGCAGCAAAGCAAACGCATTCAGTAAGCTTCACAGAGTTTATAGGAACTCTCACCGTTGGGCCTTTTCCTGTGCTGACCCTCACTAACACCAAGGGTTTAACAATAAAATGGAAAATGTCTTTAGAGGTTCAATTAATGGAACCCAGGTAAACATCTTCTTAGTCATTAGCTTTAGTACAGAAAATCTCAAGTACTTGAGAAACGTATGAATAACAGGTGCACTTGACTGTTTCTGTCACATACGTACCCGTCTGGTTTCTCACAGGGGCTGGACAACGGCCGGTCCAAGGCTGGGCATCTATGTGGCTGCAGAGCCGTCCGTGCTTGGCTGTCAGATGCACAGATGACAGGACCGACGTTGTTCTGGAAGCTCAGAAACTGGATGTAATTTCTTTTGTGGGGAACAAAAGGTTCCTCTTCCTTAGGAAACAACGTTTAGGCTTGTTTATGGGCTCAAACAAATCTCAGCTGGCTTTCTTTTGTGAAACGTACCATTACAAAAGTTATTTTAGTCCGGGAAAATGTAAACATAGCATGTTACCAGTCTGTACCTTTACTCCAGAGAATCACACTTTTACCACCTTAAAATCCTTCCCGTGGAATGTCTGGTTTTCAGTGGCATTACCAGATGCGGAGTAGCGAGTCTCAGAGATAAAGCTGGGGCCAGAATTTGGAAGGCTGCAAATGCCAACCTGAGGGACTTGAACTTTGTCAGGTATTCAGTGGAAGCCGCTGAAAAGATTTCAGGGGCAAAGTGAAAGCCAGACCTGGTTCTCATTCTTGTGGTAGTGATGAGGAATGGCTGAAAGCTGGGGAAAATGAGGGAGGGGCCCAAGGCTGAGTCTTTTCCTAGCGTGATGGATGGCAGCCAACATTCAGAGTAGAATTGATGGGACCCAGTGAGAGGCGGGTGGCTTCTGAAATTGGTGGCTGGGGAATCTCCAGCCAGAATGGGAGCAGGCAGCCACCCCGAGAAAACGCTTACTACAGGAGACCGAGCCCAGACCGGAACTCTGATCCCCGGTCCCCCCTCCAACCCCCCCTCTGCAGCAGCCACTGCCTGATCCGAGTGGGGACACTGGCCTGAAGGGCACCAGCCCCCGCAGGCAACTGGACAGACGGGGTGCCACGAAAGCTCAGTTTACTCACACTGAAGATGTTTTTTTCTTAGACTGTGGTTTTAATTCCAGCTTTTGTGCTAACCAGCTTTGAACTGGGCCAAATCGTCTGCCTTGGACATCTTTTACACTCTTCTCCCCATTTATTTTTGTTACTGTTGGGCAGACGCACTTCTCGTGTCCCAGGCCTTTGTGGGCACACGCAGTGGTGGACCCCACTTCTCTGAGGGCAGTGATGTACGATGGCAACGTCAGGGTCATTTACCATTGATTGTGTACTACACCCCAGAAGTTTCCCTGTAAAATGATGTCGAATTAATGAATATAAACGGTGAGAACCACCTGTTAGAAACCAAGTAAAGTTTTAATGAAAGCACAGACAGAGCCTGAGCTGCTCACATTGGGGTAGGCTAGCAGGGAAGCCCCCTGCCTCTCCGCAGGCCTGCGACGACTTAACGGTCATTGTCCGACATTCGTAAGCACCCGAGAGCCACAGTCACATTGCACTTTATTACAGACAAGAAAACGCTCCATTTCACAGGAGGACCTTCCCCCGGCTTCTCCTCATCCTTCCTCTCAAAGATTTCACATGGCAGCAGTGAAAGGCGAAGGGGAAAGACCTATTTTAAAAAGTATGCCGTGGTTTGGTTTCTGTACCTTCACTGGAGAAAAATGCTGCACGTTATACATACATTTCTCAGATTTCCTCAACCTCTCGTGACTGCTGTGACCAGTACTCAGGTCTGACCTGTGTGCAAACTACTCACAGCACTTATGGGCGGGCAGACTGACCCCAGAGGAAGGGTTTGGACTCGCAGTGGTCCCCCCTCCAGCACAGCTTCGCTGCAGTCTACACGCTCTTGCTCCAGCAACTCCAGCCAGCACAGCCGGCCTCTGGGCCCCCTTAGTCAGTGGCTGGGGCAGAGGTGGGTAGGAGAGCCAAGCCAGCAGAATAGGAGCAAAGCTGAGGAAGGGAGAGAGGAGAGGTCACAAGGACCAGGGAGCACAGTCTGGGACCAGAAAACACTGAGATAGCCTTCTGTAACCGATCTGCACAATGTCTTTGGAGGCAATTCTAAAAGAAAATTTTCAAAGCATTCTAATACTAGCATCGCCACAGTGAGAGCACAGATTCCTAAGAGCACCATTTTAAAGCATAACGATCATTTGATTCTGTAAGTTATGGTAGATTTGTCTTAATAACTTTAATTTTTAATTAGATATAAAAATCATTGCTTAAGTGATGTTTATAGCCCAGAACATAAGGAAATCTGTAGGATGTGTGTGTGGACTAGAAACACTTTTAATTTTATGGTCTAGGGATGAAACTCAGCACCGCATACTTCTGCCTTGGCCAATGTTAAATACTTTGGGGCTGCTCTGAGGAAAAAACATTTTATTTAAGTGCAAATGAATGGCACATGTAACTTCAAAGTAATCCTGGCTTACAGAATATATGGGTGTTTGGATGGAGCAGAATAAAGGGCCCACTTCAATTTCACATACAGAAGTGGCACAGTAAGAAGCAAATAGTTTTTGTAGTTCAATAGACCTAGTTAACCTCCTAGCTTCACCCATTTGTACTTGAACAAACCTCTGCAAATTATTGAACTTCTCGGAGACTCAGTTTCCCTACCTGTTAATGCCTAGGGAAGGGCCTGGCAAACAGAAGCTATTCGATGACCAGCAGTTCCCCTGTAGCAGTGGTGGGGTTTCTTTTCCCCCAAACTAAGGGTCTCGCCCTACTGACAGATTATGAAATCACTTGAGTAGGTTGCAACAAGCGTTATTGCACAAACTAAAATGACAAAAACATCAGAATGCACCGCACTTAATGGTAAGAGTTGTCCCACTGACTGTACACATGCTGAGTTCGATATAAGGGCATTGTTTACCGTGGGGGGCAGGGTTACAATAAAAAGTTTCAGTCTCCGCCCTACAGATTATTACATCAAAAATGCCTTCAGGAGCATTGCCCTTATCCAAGGGCAATGCCTCTCTAAATTTGCCTCTATCAATAAGCCTCTCTAAATTTGAAGAACTTAAGCAAAGTGTTCCTTATGTTTTAACTTGTTGGAGTAAAACTAAGACCTGAATAACAGATGAATTTGCTCTGATACTGTTGGGCATTAAATTCCATTTTGTGATCAGTTTCTGTGTTATAATAACTGATACACACTATAGTTTATAGGTATATCATTCATAGTTGATTAAACGCTTCTAGATGTTTCTACCAAAAGTTGGCTATTAGGATCTATTATGGGAAGATTAGATACCATTTCAAAATCATTTAAAATAAGACTTTGTGAAAGGCTTGTGACTCGCCCAGTCTTGAAGGCTGCCAGGGCAACCTCCGAACCCCAGTGAGCAGTAACCTTCCGGGCCTTTATGGGCACGTACAGGGGTGTCTCACACTCGGTAAAAATGAGCTGCAGCTGCAGCCTCCTCTCTCCTGCAGGTCACGACGCACAACCAGCCTGACAGTGTAACGAGTCCCTGGCTGTGTTAGGACCCTGGGCGAAAAGCGTAGGCAATTTGGGGCCGGGAGAATGGGAATGATGTGCAGTGATGCGGACTGGGCAACGCTGACGGGAAGAAAACTGGAGGTCACAGCCTGCAGTGCCACAGCTGAATCTTGGTGTAGCCATGTCTTACATTTAAAACCGTAGCCGGCCAGGCCAGATCGACCATTACTGGAATCACCTGTGGGACTGAAGTTTGAGACTCTTGTTTTAAATACACACCCGCATGATTCTAATCCCCACTCTGGTTGGAACACCCTGTGTGAAAGGGACAGCACGGACCATTAAGTAAAAAAAGGTAGAGTTCAAAAGTAATCATGCTGACCTTACAGGTATCAGTCAATATCCAATACCGGATCAGAATCTGACACTCACTCAGAGCACTTCCTTCTTGGTCTTACATAAAAGACACATGTCAGCAGGTAGCAATACAGTACTGGAAATTTTCTAGTTACCGCATTTTGCTGTGCATAATGTGTATCTTTTTGCCCAAATTTTTGAGGGAAAAATAAGGATGCACATTATACATGGGTGTAATGATTACATACCATGGGCATAATAATGGGTATAACAATCCCACGTATAATGCACACAAAACGTGAGTGTGTTATGCATGGCAAAATATGGTATTTAAGGACGAGAACTGGTGAGAGTCAAAAAGTATGAAGGAGAAAGGTCTCTCTGGATTAGAAATGAAAATACAGTAGCCATCAATAACAGTTAGGAAGAGGAAGCTCAGCTAGAGAGAAATCACAAAGCATCTGGCTGCCCAACGACCGGCGCCCGAGCAGAGAAAGGGCCCGGCGTGCGCGGCGCTGGCCCCCACTCCCCAGCCCTCACAGTTGAGTGGAGTAAGGCAAAAGGTGGTTCTTTCCTATCTCGGGGTTGGGGGTGTAGGATGAGGCTGCCTGTAATCTTAAATTCTCTCTTTCTAACTTTAAAACCTCTTTGCCATTTGATACAGACACTGGGTTGGGCTGGGCCATGCTCGCTCTCAATGTCAAGTGTTGGGATTAGCACCGCAGATCCACCGGCGGGGACTGAGTGTTGGCCCCAGGCTCGGTCCATCATCGCCCTGAATGTGAGGAAAGGGAGACATGAGTGCCATCCTTAGGAAGAAATGGCAGCTGGGGAAAGTGAAGGAAGGCTTAGGAGAGAGCAAAGCCTGTGGTAAAGGATGGTGGTGAGGGAGGTGAGGTAGAAGGCTAGCGCTTAGCTTTGCTGGGGTCAGAGACGCCCTGTGTGGCAGGTACAGCAGCCTCTTGAACTTGGGGGATGTCCCAAGAAACGATCTGGCATATTTCCTGCCTGCTTAGTTTTTAGCTCAAACTCTAACAATGTTGGCTATTTGGAGATCTCTCTTTTTCTCCATCCCTCTCTTACCTAGAAATTATAGGGAAGGATGAGAAACAATAAAAAAAAAGGCAAGCTATGAAAAAAGCCCTCATTATACATAGGTAGAATTCACCCTATAAGTGAAAGAACTTTGGAAAGTACGAGGGAAGGAGGGCAGAGGGCACTAGGTCTTTCGGGTGAAGAGACAAGCCAGCAGAGCCAGCTGAGTGACTGGCTAATACCACTGTCCCCTACGCTTGAGCTTCTGTCTTTAATGAGAGGCGGAGGGCAGAGTTCAGAGAAGGAGCCAGGGTCACAGATGAAAATATTGGATAGAGAAGTTGGCCTTGCTTTGCATTTTCTTTTACTATTAGTTTCCTTCAGCAGAAAATGTGGTTGGACCAAGCTGTGTCAGGGTTCACCAAACGGCCTCTGCCGTGCGCTTCACCCTCACCCCTGCCAGGCCTGATTTCTTCATTTGATAAGAAAGGCTCATCGACTCCCATTCTTTTCTTTGCTGATGGGCCTACATAATCTCCTACATTCGGGAGATAAAAAGCATATTTGTAATATGCTTAGCCGCAGGGTCTCCAAATCAGGGGTATGGAAGAGACTACTCTTCCGCGACCCAATGCGTCCATGCACTGCATGTGCTCATCAAAGTTACGGGTTTGGTTTTCACATTTCCGGGCAGAAAATCTGCTCCCTAGCAGTCTTTATACTTTACCTGACAAGCATTATCCACCCTCGGCCCAGACTCGTCCACTCCATTAACATCCCGGCAAACAAAAAAATAGAGCCATTTATCACAGTTCAACGCTGCTTGAGCATCTACAGCCACTATCTCGACATAACCAGGTTCCAAACACCAATGTCCCACAGCAGCCAAGGCCCATCAGGATAGACATGTTGGCGCCAGTACGACTGAAGTTTGGTCTTTAACTGCACTTTTTGTCAGTTTGGCTGGGAAGATTTGGACAGCTGGAAGTGAGCTTCTCCATCATTTTCTGTTTCCTTCTTTGTATCAATTTTCCACCTGTGAAGCCCAACACTCCACCACCAAGTGCAGCTGCAACCCCCAACATTTTGATGCCTGCAAGGAGGCCAATCGGACCCCCCACCACTCCTCCGATGAGTGCACCTGCCACAGGCAGAGCTGCCAGCTTGTATTTTGCAGCCTGTAAAAAAAAAATTCAATTTAGAAATTGAGTTGAGAATATCTGCCTGTGGTGATGTGCATTTTCCTCTCATTACTCCTGGCAATGCCTCTTTAACTCTTGGTACATAATTAACCTTCGACACTGCACTGGGGGAAGGAGGCCGAGAACGTGTTCCACAGGTACTACCACCATTGCTCCAGATCGCAGAATTTCGAGCAATGCGCTGCAAAGAGTGGACTGCTACAGATTGATTTTGCTTGCAAAAAAAAACCCCAAAACCCCAAAACCAAGTAACTACCTAGCTGGCTTATTTAAACAGTTTCAGCAGTCACAGATGCCCCCAAAGCTTTTATGCTGCAGGCAGATTATTCCATGCTCTGTACCTGGGGTTAAAAGCAATAATCTATGGGAAAAAGAGGGGCCCACCGTCCACATGCTGTCATGTCCTTAGATTCTCACCCCTACTGGACCCAGGCAAGCCTCTCCGCTCCTCCCCCTTGAGCCTCTGCAGATGCGCCCACCTAGCACCAAATGCCTTATTAGTGGGGCTGCCGTTTACTCCCTCTTTGAAAAACTGTCTCCCCTAACAGAATGAATCTGGGAGTAGAATATTACTACAGCCATTGATTTCTTGCACTACCTATGTGTCATTTTTTCCTTATTTCCTTAATTGCTGGTTCCCTTAAGATTAAAGAGAGCAGATCAATTGGGTTAATACTACAAATTCCTGGGAGCCAGAGGAACATTGATTTGTCAGCAGGAGCAGAGTCTTACCTTCCCCAAGTTTTTGGTTCCCTCCTCAACATTCACAGCGGCAGTGTTGACATGGTCTTCAATGCTGTCAATCTTCTCCTGCTGAGACTGGATGCAAAGGAATTATGAGGGGGCATTCCTGCTGGGGCGCAGCGGAGGGCCAGTACACACTATTTTAATTCCTGTAATCAGGGCCCTGGGTACTGCAGCCTCGCCGTCTTAATAGCGGTTCATTAATAGCATCTGATAAACCATGTCAAAAAGACAAATTCACTTGTACGAGAAAAAGAGAGTGCCTTAATTATTAGGTAATAAAAGGGTGGCACCTCTACAGAAAAAAAGCATCTCGCACTAAAATTCATTCAGACATACAAACATTCTCCAAATGAATCTGTTTTCCAGGAGAAAAGAAATCCAAATAAGCATTTACATGGCATATGGGTTTGATGAGAAAAAAAGAAACCAACAAAGCCTTTTTTATCTCCCTAACTTATCTCTTTGAAAGTTCAGTTTAAAACAGGCACATTTGACTTGGGAGTAAAACACCCCTGATCTAATAAATACAAATTATTATGTTTTAGAAATAAGAATACAACATGGTTTGATCCACCATGCAATCTATCAATACTCTTCATATGCAATAAGAATGAGTTTACCGTCCTGTGTTCTACCCTTATACAACTTAATATGTTTTCAAATCATGCCAAATTAATACGTTTCCGATCAAATATATTAAGAGCCTTCTGACACAACCGAAACTGGGACTCATGCGCCCCCTGGGTAGCAGGAGTGTTCGCGTGTGGAGTGTGGTGTTGCCTCCATGTGTGAAGTCCGCTACGTCTCTGACAAGCGGTTACTGGGCCTCTGCTCACATACCTCCGGGGATGGGACTCATCACCTGCCACAAGAACACATTCCCATCTTTAAATCAGTTTCATTTACACACACGCACCCATTTTAAGGGCACAGTATGAGTTCTGACTAAGGTACAAGCTCATGTTAACCACCACCACATCAATATACTGACTATTCAGGTTTTTTAATTCACAGAAAGAGAATAATCCCTCTTTGATCCCAGCTAAATGCCAACTTCTACAACGACTGTGAAATAAAGAATTCTACTTTAACCCTGAAGTATTTCACTGCCTTATGTAACTGACTTCTTCGCTTATACTGAGGCAGATATAAACTCTAATTCTAATCACTTCATCCAAGAACGTGAAACACAAACAGAGCTCATTTCCACTCCCCAGGTGCTTCTTATCGGCGCTATGGACGTTCCTTCCTTTTTCATACAAGTACGTGCTTGCTCGCTGTCAGGCCTTTCATGGGGCCCCTTCGTTCTCACACCCTCCGCCACCATCTATCAAAATTCCTGCCACCGTCCCTGAAGAAGCCCTTTCACAGGTTCCCTTCTAACATCTCGGTCAGAGACAAATTCAACAGTGATTCTCACACCTGAGTGTGCACCGGAACCACCTGGACGACTTGTCAAAATAGATTGCTGGGCCCCACCCCCAGAATTTCCGACTTAGTAGGGCTTGGGGTGAGGCCGGGGAATTTACGTTTAAAAAATTTATTGATTGGTTTTTTAGAGAGAGAAAGAGAAACATCAATTTATTGTTCCGTCTTTATTTATGCACTCATTAGTGGATTCTTGTATATGCCCTGCCCAGGATAGAACCCACAATCTTGGCGTATCGGGTGATGCTCTAACCCACTGAGCTACCCGGTCGGGGCTGAGATTTTGTGTTTCTAAAGAGTTCCTAGGGGAAGTGGATGCTGCACAGTGAGTCCATGATGCTCACACTTTAAAAACCACTAATGTATGTAGATGACAGGATTAACAGCACAAACTTTGGTCAGGTGTCCTGTGTTCAAATCCTACAGTGTCTGTGGACAAATGACTCATGATCTCCAGGTGTCAGTACTCTCATTTCTCAGGTGAGGATAATGATATTTTTACTTCATGGAGTTGAACTGAGGATAAATAAGGTGGAATCTATAGAGTATACCAGGAAAAACAGAGAAAGTCATCCTGATCTTCCCAAGAAAGCTTAACTCCCATCTTTCTTTTCTATCAAAAAATATATTAAACTTTTTCCTATGATGCTTGAAAATTCCAAAGCACAAAAACATTAGCTCTCTCCTAGCCTTCATTCATTCAGTCTTTATTTCCCTCAGACAATAAAACTTCTTTAATGTTAGCTTTTCCCCCCTTCAACCCACAGAAGCATAAGTGCCAGCACTTGTCTGTATTCCTGACACCCTATTCTCATTTCTGTTTGGGACATCCCCAACACTTCCATTCTGGCTTCAAAGTCTATGCAAGAAATCACAGGTATAAAATGCTATTATCAACCTTCATATCTAATGAATTGAGGGGTAAAGGGAGAATAGCCAATGGCCCCCTCTGTCTCAGCCCCAAAAGAACTCCATCGCGGGGGTGGAGCCACCAGGATTGCCACTATTGCTCACACCCAAAGTGTCTCGAGACCTCAGCGAAATATCTTTTCATGCTCCTTCCTACATGGTTGGATACCGAAGCTCTATGATTTTTTTTTATATAGTAAAAAGTCTATTTAAATATTTTTACACAAAAATACTTTGGGATAATTGGATAAAGAACCACAGACAAAACACAGCCTGAGATTCCTGAAGGTGAGAACTGTGATGCTCACCACCACTGCAAGTGCCTGACCGAAGGAGGCCTGCCCCACCTGGGGGCAGCCCACACCTGTGAGCACCGCTGCCCGATGTGGGGAAGCTCGGTCAAGTGTGGGCAGGGAATGGGGCAGAGGGCGACCAGCCCCCCGCCGGGGGTCGAGTCACCTCTCGGCTGTGCCTTCTTCTCCTGTTTGGCTTACTTGGGATCCCACACTTCGCCCATTTCTTCAAATTCTGCTTCTGGGGTAAGGAGGACTCAATGATAACAATTTGAGTTTGGCAGCTTGGTGCCAGAGTTGTGAATTAACTGTCCACAGAATGACCAACGAGACTCCATTCAGAGCCAAATCTGGTCACCACTCGTCCACTGTGTCCTTGGCTCTTCATGTTGGGCCAGACCACACATAACACGGTCTTATTTCAGGACAGGAAACCGAGCCCCTAGCAGCAGTAGGGGCTCAGAAGCCTCCTCAACTCTGCCACTACCCCCCAACTTGTACTTCTTATTTGGTTATTTTGCTTTCATCTTCCTGAACTGCCCACATGTGACAATCTTCAGACTCTCTTCCTGACGTTATATACTTTGGCAGTTCACATCTGTCCTCAGCTTCCCTTTAATAATGAATTAAATCACTTATGATGGTGACTGTGGTGTTTCTCAAACTGGAATAATGCATAGCCTTTTCCCTTTCTAAAGGAAAAAACATTTTTCAAGACTAAGAATATGTCTATGGATTTCATTCTAAGAAACACTGAATTAGGTCCCATACCTACCTCCAAAAAATAATAAATAACTGAATCATACTTAGCTGGGAAGAAGACATGACTAATTAAGTTAGTATTTGTCAAGAAGAATGCAATTTGCATACTTGAGGTCAAACTTCAAAACTGATGAAGAATTGTTTTTGCGTTGAATGCTGTTTTGGACAGTTACGGGGCTGGCATCTTCTACATTGAGTAATAGTAACACAGTCAACAAATCCACTCCTCAACCCATTCACATCAGTAAAAATGCTCTCCCTAGTCTTGCTGTACAGTTTTATTTATGTGCTTGAAAAGGTAGAGGTTTCTGCCCTGGCTAGGTGGCTTGGTTAGTTGGAGCATTGTCCTGCACACCAAAAGGCCACGGGTTCGATCCCTGGTCAAGGCACATACCTGGGTTGCAGATTTGACCCCTAGTCAGGGTGTGTATGAGAGACAACTGATCGATGTTTCTCTCTCACATCAGTACTTCTCTCTTGCTCTCCCAAACCAGTAATTGTATCCTCAGGTGAGGATTAAAAAAAAGAGTCCTTAGAATACCATTAAAAAATGAAAAGACTATAGGTGGCTTTAAGAAGCGAGTGCCAAAACTCCAGGTATTTCTCTTCATTACTGACTCTAAATTTCACCCAGCTTTCAAGGACAGCTCTATCTTAGGTCTTGACCAATCCAGATAACACTGAGCTATCCTGGTTCTGAACCCCAAAGGTACGCAATCTCTACCCCGAATCACATGCAATCGCACATACACAGAAAAGCCGAGAAACAAACACCCCAGTGCTATGATACACAGGCAGAATACAGGATTACATTCACCAGAGGAGACAGTAAGTGAAGCAGGACATTGACTGACATCAGTGGATTCGGCAACAGGAAAAGGACTGCAGGAACTGTAGTGCTAAACTCCAGTAATGTTGGCAGTGAGAGTAAAACTGTGAGCAAGGAGCTTGGGGGCACCCAGTCAGAGAGGAGCAGCAGGAGGAATCCGGCTGGGGCGGCAGAAGGGAAGGGGATGAGGAGTGATAGGTGTTACCTCATTTAGCCTCCCGCCGATTTTACAAAGCTCACTGCTGTCAAATGATATCCTAAAGGTCATACAGGTGACACGTGGCGGAATCTGATCTAATCCCTTACAACCCAGTTTCTATGCATCCAGAGGAAAACTGGATTTAAAAAGCGACAGGGAATAAGGCAAAATGTGGAGACAAAACTGGACCTGCAGCTAGGACGACATGTTACTGGCCCAGTGTTCTTTAAGTTCCCCTCGACTAGATGTGGGGCCGGTCCCACAGTTCCAGCACAGAGCGCCCTTGAGCAGTACAGGCTGAAGGACGATGAAGCACAGTTCCTAGCGCACGTTAACTTATTAACATCTATTGGACCACACCCGGATCTCTCCATGGCTTTGTAGGTTCTTTTTTTATTGTGGTAAAAATCAACATACACAATTTACAATTTTAGCCATTTGTAAGTGCACGATTCAGTAACATTAAGTACACTCACAATGTTGTGTGACTATCACAACTATCCTGAAGGTTCTTTGGTACCCTTTTCTCTATTCTTCACGGAGCTTAGCACAGTACGATGCACACAGAGAGCGCTCCGTAAATAAACGGGTGGCTTGCCTAGAGACCTCCACGTCCATGTGATGCTGAGAGGATGTGGTCATTCCGGTTATGTTCCCAACTACTTGGTGCCTAAATGGAGCTTCTGTGAGTCTATGACCATGTGGTCATGAGAACTCAGTCACCCTGGGAACAGTACTCAGGGGTTCTTCTTTGAGCGTCTGCCTAATAACAGTCTGTCCTTATGCAGATTGTTATAAATAGAACATTTGTATAGAGCCATGGCTACAGTCAAACTCTTCCTGCATAAGCCTTCATTAGATGAGGGCCGGCAACGGCGTACATAACCTAACAGTACATATAACTGTTAAATGGCCACAAACCCTTAGTTTTCCTTTCATGTGTCTATGGCATTAGAAGGGAAATGCATGTGTCTTGAATGATAACTTTTTACATGTTTAGTTTGTTTTTAAATCAACTTTATTGAAGTATAATTCACATATATTATAATTCACACATTTCATGAGTATGTACCAATGACTTTTGACAAATGTATATATTTGTAAAACCATACATATACAGATTTTACAAGCTGCATTAGATCAGAGATTGTGTGTTACAACTGAATAAATCCTGATTCTAAGAATAGCAAATATTTTAGGGTTCTTATATCATTCTCTTCTATATACAAATATATTAATAGATTGTACAGATACCTAATCCAGAAACTCCCAACATTTTGATTCGTCTGACTTAGAGGCATCAAAAAAAGGAAAATGCTTTCAACAATCTACTATATTCAATGTTAAGCATTATATTTCAAGAAAAAACCCACAAACTTGAAAACATGCAGAGCAAGGGACCAGCACTGAAAAGCCCAGCAATCACATTCTAGGAATCCATCAGAAAAATCGGGGGTTTTTAGAAGAAACATGGCGAGGCAGGGTAGAGTGAGGAAGGACAATGCTGATTCCAAAAAGGGCAAAACACTTTTGTGTGGGGAAGAGACAGAACCTGCTCAGTGTGGGGCCCAGGGGGGGACAGCACCAGAGACAGGTTCAGATGGGGGGGCTGAGACATGAAGTGTCCCTGTACTGTAACCGTCTAAAAGAAGGGAGGAGACCATCTGTTTAAGAAACTGGGGCGAGCAGAAGGATCAGATTAGTTGTCCTCTGAAGTCCTGGTTACCTCCAATCCTGAGATTGTGTGATCTAGGAACCTCTTCTGATTTAAAGCCAGGTGTCAGGGAAACCATAATTCAAAAATGTACAGCCCCAAACAACAGTTTGATCAAGAACAAAGAAGTGAACCTAGCCAGGAGCACTGCTAACCTGCATGTGTGTACACAGACACACACACACACACTCACACTCATACAGCCAACCTTCCCATAATTCCTTGGATGACAAAATAATGCAGAAAAATTATAACAGGAAATCCATTCTATCTCTTCCACCCAATACACTAGAAGTTCCCTAATCTGTGTTAACAGTGCCACTGGCTACCAGATTACGCACAGTAAAGCCTTAATGTTTCTCTTTGACTTTTCTATCTTCTTCTAACTTCTACCTCAGAAATACCTCAGCTGTCCCTTCCCTTTACACAGTAGTCCTCCCTTAGCCACAGGGAATATGTCCCATGATCCGGTGGGTGCCGGAAACTGTGGATAGTACTGAACCCTACACATACTGTCTTTTCCTACACATACACACACTTGACAGCCTTTCTTTGGCATGTCCGAATTGCCAGCATCACCACTTTTACAGGTTGAGACCATTATTAAGTAAAATAATAGTTACTGCTACACAAGCATTGCAGTACCATGACCGTCAACCTGATAAAACCGAGACAGCTGTTAAGTGCCTCAGGGTGGGGAGCGCGTATAGTGTGGATGCTGCGGACAAAGGGATGGTTCGTGTCTGGGGCCGGGCAGAGCAGGATGGTGCCAGATTGCATCAGGCTAGTCAGAATGATGTACATTTAAAACTTATAAGTTAATTTTGGAATTCTGCATTTAATATTATCATGTTTGGCCACAGTACCTGAAAACATGGAAAGCGAAAGTGCAGAAAGCAAAGCCACAGGTAAGGGGGAACTACTACACTTGTATTGCCATTGCTCTTGGTGAAACTCTTGCAGTTGATTCCTAACTAGTCATCCTGCCTGTGATCACCCCCTTCCCAAGGCCATAGTCACACTGCTAATAGTGAACTTTCTGAACCCAGAAAGGATGGACCATACCACTCTCACCTGCTCAAAAATCTACACTGGCTCCTACAAAGTGAAGTTCAAATTCCTTGGTATGGCCTCCTGTGCCATCTCAGTCTCAGCTGAACCCTCCTCGCTTTGCTTGCCCACGGGACCACTGCAGTACTTGTCATTCCTGGAAGGTGCTGAACTCCATGGCTTTGTTCAGCTGTTTTCAAATGCACCCCCTCACTCCACCTGTGGACACTTCACTCAATTTCCAAGACTCAAGCAAATGCTACTCATCTTGTGAAGCTAACTGCTTCCACCCCATAACCCCTGCTGCCCTCCCTTGGAATTAAATGCGTCTTCTTGGAGCTTGTAATACTTCTCATCATATCTTATTTTTGCATTTAACAGTCATGCCTGAAGTTTCAGTTTTGGGGTCCAAGCTTATCTCTCCCCACTGTAAATCCTTGAAGGCAGAGAGCAGGTTTCATTTATTTCTATATCTGATCAGACCCCCGATGCCTAGGATCTAACACAGAAACTTTTGTTTAACAAGTGCTTAATAAATGTTTATTGAACTGATTTGGAACAGCCTTAAAAACTGTAACTTCTATTAAAGTTTTAACCAAAAGCCTAGTGATCAATAAAAGCCTTTTAGCTTTTGGGCCAAAACCAGTTATGTACTTACATTCACTAGGCGAGAGAATCCTGTGACCAGTTCATTAAGTTCAATTAAGTCCTTAAAAAGAAGAGAGAAAAAAAAAGGAAGTTACTTATTTTTATGCCTCACAGTTACCAAAAGGCAAAAAAAAAATTTTTTTAACATACCGCTTCTAAGGTTTCCCATGATTCTGCAGCATTTTGATCTCGAGGAATTTCAGGCAATGCGATTATCTGAGTCAGACTCTGGGGGTCAGCTCCAGCTTCAGCTTCAGCAGCATGGAATGCTCCTGGGTGAATACAGCCTCATGGTTAGAGTTTATTTGCTTTGTTTAGAAAGGTGATAGCATGAATCAATACCATAAAACAGCTGTCATGTAAAATGCTTACTAACTGAGTTCCGGCTAAAAGTAAATCGATTATTCTATAAAACTAGATTTATCTATTGGCAGATTGTTCCTGTGTTAACAAATGTGTTTTTTCTTTAATTAGTCTACAAAATCATCTAAAAAATGGGTACAAATACTATCTACCCAAACTGAATAACTAAAGCGAGATGTGGAAGAAGCACCAAAAGAAAACTATTCTATTCGGCCAACGTTCCATGAAGAGATACCCAGGTTTAACATTTTTTATTCCTAAATCATTAACTTTAGTTGTTGTTGTTATTTTAGTGAGCTGTTAAAAGTAGGGAAGTGATGTGTCAGCAATGAAAAGCAGTAATTTTGGGAACTAATTTGTCATCAAACAAATACCTATTACCATACGTATATTTCTCTATGGATTATCACTTCTCTTCAAAGTCATTTTTCTGACCCAGGCCTCCATTGCTTCTAATTCTTTTCTGAGTTTTAAAAAGTTATCAACCCACTAAGGCTTTCCTTATTAAATACTGTTATGGTGTGAATTAATTCATGCTCCAAACTCCACCTTCAAGTCTTTCTTATTTCCCTGTATTGGTTCTACCAATCATTCACTCATTAAACTTATGTTTACACAATTCCTGTCAATGTGTTAAAATGCTGCGAACACAATGGTAAACCAGAAAAACAGTTCCAAGGAGTCGACACAGTGCAGTGGTTATGAGTATGAGCCTCGTCAGAAAGACCTGGGTAAGCATCCTGTTTGAACTATTTACTAGCCCTTTGACTTGGGAAAGTGTTTTGTTTTTCTGACTTATTTTCCTCAATTATAAAATAAGATGATACTTTGCACCTGACTTACAAACCAAGTATTGCGTTGGCCAGAAAGTTCACTCGGTTTTTTTCATACACTTGCCCCAGTAGCACTCGGTTGTCTTTAGCTTCATTTAAATCAATTTTGTTAGATTGTATTGTGACAGCTGTCACATCAGTGTACAATTGAAAAAAACTCTAACAAAGTTGTGAATTTTTGTAGGCATTTTAATATTAAAGATGGAAGAAAATAAGCAACATTTTCAGTATTATATGCTTTATTATTTCAAGAAAGGTAAAAACACAACTGAAATGCAAAAAAGGATTTGTGCAGTATATGGAGAAGGTGCTGTGACTGATTGAATGTGTCAAGAGTGGTTTGTGAAGTTTAATGCTGGAGATTTCTCCCTGGACAATGCTCTATGGTTGGGTAGACCAGCTGAAGTTGATAGTGATCAAATCTAGACATTAATCAAAACAATTAACATTGTACCACATGGGAGCTAACCAACATACTCAAAATAGCCAAATTAATAAAGTAGTTGGTGAAAATGAAAAGTGTGTCTCTCATTTTATGGAAAAAACCATTTGGACTTTTCGGCCAACCCAATGTAAGCTGTTAATAGTTATTCCTACTGACATTGCTATTGCTATTGTTATTAAGGGAACTTACCATGTAGTGTGTGGAACAGACATGTTAACAGGCTAGTTCAGTATAGTCTGATAAGAACTGTGATATGGGTAAGTATGGAACGCTATTCGAGCACAGGAGACCCAGATTTGAGGAGGAGAGAGTGGCCCGAGAAGGTTCTGAAGCTAAAGCCTGAGGATGAACAGGAATTATGTAAGTGAACTGGAGCACGAGTGGAGGGCGAAGCAGAGAGTGCTCAGATCTCGGAGAACAGCATGGTGCACAGGTCTGGGAACTGAAGGGAGTTCAGCACAGCGGAAGCACGCTCTGTGACAAGAGGAAAACAAGGCTGAGGTTGGAAATTGAGGGTGACGTTACTCGGGGCATCGTAAACTGTTAAAGAGTTTTGTCTTCCTGTGAGATCCCTGTGGAACGAGTAAGCAGAGTAGGAGACCACTGCGAGGCTGCAGGGCGCCATATCAGATTTCAGATTTAGAAAGGGGACCACAGTTGTGGGGTGAAGAACAGATTAAGGATGAAGTTGAAAAATGAAAAAATCAGAGAGTGAAAAGCCAGTTGGGAGGCTTCTCAGTATGTCCGGTGCAAAAATGAGGAGGGTTGGCTCTAAGACAGGGGCAGCGAAAACGGACAGAGGACATCTGAAGGCGTCCTTTCCTTTGTCCCCCTTACTTCAAGCTTAAAACAACACTTGCCACTTCAAAATTTTCTGGGCACTCATTATGGACTGTGTTGGGTACCAGGGATGAAAATGAAATGCAAAATAGTTGTTCTCTAGGAAGTTATATTCTAGAAGAGTTAGACACACAAAGAGACAATCCTAAAACAGTAAGAGAGTTCATTAAGACCTAAGTAAATAGACAAAGATAGTGCCTGGAAGTGCCTTGTGGGAGCTCCAAGCTGGGCTGGCATCTGACCCGGCGTGGTGTGGTGTGCAGTTTAGGGGACAGCTCCCTAAAACGGATGATCTTACTAGGGAAAGAAGACAGGAATATGAATTCTAGGTAGAAAGACCAGCAGGAAAAAGGCCCTGAAACAAGAAAGAACGTAGCTTGACATAAAATCAGCAGTTTGGTCTTGCCAAACCATAAAGTAAAGCATGTCAGGTTACAAGTAGAAGATGTTGTAGATGGTTCGAAGTGGCCTTGCAGTCCCGTCCATCAGACTGGACCTTACCTGGCAGACAGGGGAGAGCTCCTGACAGGCTGTAAGCAGGGAAATGACAGTGACATGTGACACCTGATCTAAGTAAGTCATTGAAACACTAAGTCCAACTTCTCTCTCAATTTCTTTTCCCATCCTGGCCTATAAACAAGCGGTATTTTACAAAACTGCATGACTAGTTTACTTTCAATAACTAGTTCACTAGTTAAATTCATGAGTGTTTTACCTCTCAAGGGAAAAAAGCTGTTTAAATTGTTTAGGAAGGGCATAGTCAGCTGACTAAAAAGTAATTTCTGGGCTTATTGGAATTGACTATGTTCTTTTAATTTTTAATCTTAACTTATCAGAATATATTTTTTTACCCAAAGGAACAGCAAAAATATGCCATACAGAATAAGTTTTACATTACAACATTATGGCAAGTATCCAGTATGTTAAAAGCTTTCTATGATCTTTATAAATGCTGAACAGTTATTTACCCCATACCCTAATGTCACTAAAGACACTTTCATTTTCACTTCAATCAAGATAAATGAATTACTCTAACATCTTTCTTCTAGTTAACATTCCTATTGTAAGAACTTCAACTTATTTAATTCCATGATGAATAACAATAACTTGGTTATTAACAGCCCAAATGTAAAGCATAACTTTATAAACACAGCTACCACTCTTATGCCAGGGTATATAACAAAATGAGAAGAAACTATCATATAGAAATTATTAATCTAAAATGAAAGGATGGGAACTGTTTGACATTTTAGGCAAACATGGAAGATTTCCCTCAGTGAAAAATAATAAATGTTTTAAGTCATTTGCATTTCACCTGAAACCAAACTGTGTATGCATCTTAGTTCAAAATGAAGTCTTAGAGCAAAGAAATCTGTTTTCTTCCATGGAAAATCCTGCTGTAAGCTTACAAGGCTGAACATCACTAGTCATTTCAAGGTACGACTAATAATTGAGAAATGAAACCCTTTAATTTCTACAACTTCCACAACTCATTTGTTCCAGTTTGTATTATAAATCTGTGATCATTCACCAACTTTGAACTTTTACAGATTGCTACAGACATGAGAAGGCAAAACACTGCCACAGATTTATAGCTGCAGGAAATAAGGCTAAAGAGCTCTTCTGTCCACATATGTTAAAATTGTCAAAATCGCTCTTGTTTTATACAACACAGTAACCTCAGCTAGTTCTAGCTGCATGCAAACAACTGCGAGGGTAAAGAGCACAGATCTCACCGCTGCTCTTCAAACTCCAGTTTTAAAACCTTATTATTGACTTATAAACTCAAATAAGCATTAAGATATTTTTAGTTGAAGTGAGAAATAAGCTTAGTAACACGGACATAAGACTTTTCCCTTCTCCCTACATATCTAAACATCCCTGCATCACTCATTGATTAACACTCACTGTCTCCTTCTCTACAAGCCCCCCTTCTTCCTTTCTCCATACTTCATGGGGAGCAGAATCATTTTACTGAGAACTACAACACAATAGATAAAGAATTTCCACTAAACTTTGTTACATTAGAAAAAGTGTCATTATAAATCTCAATTAATTCCAAAATATTTCCTGAAATTTTTTTCATGTTCTGACAGCTTAAACATAGTGAAATTAATTTACCGATCAACTACATAAACCCATCTATGAAATAAAATGATATCTAAGAAATGCCTTCACTTAGTGGCAAAGATAAGATTTATTTATCAAAGAGGGAGAGAAAATCAATGGGCTGAATCCACTGAGCTACACCAGCCAGGGCCAAAGGAAGATTTTTAAGAAAATTAAGACCAACTGAAAACACACCTTTTGAATAGTACACGAAAACCATCTACATGTTTTGCAAAACGATTCAGTGCATATATATATGTATGTATGTATGTGTGTATATATATTCCTGTGATAAAATCTAATATTTCATCAAATTCAATATGCTGGTCTGAAGGTCCCAGAAGTTTTAACATTGGATTCTTTTCTTTTGTGTGTATTTGTTTAAAGTGTAAGAAGATTCTGTTCCTACTGCATGGATGAAGTTGTCTTCTGGACGGGGGGTGAGAAAAGACAAAGACGGACAGGAGCGGTGACTCGCTCTGCGGGACTATATACACCTTTCCAAACACAAATGGAATCTGCAGGCCCATCACCTCCCTCAGTGGGAAGCGATCGACTAAAGGTGAAATGACACACAAACAAGGTGTTTCTCAAATCAAGCAAGACTGGCGGACATTTGCTTTAGGAACTCTCAGAAGCTGGACGAAAGAAACGGCAAAGTCATCACAGATCCCCTAAACTTAATAAGCTTCTTTCCCTCTCCAGCAAACACAAAACACCGTATTCTACTTGTCACTTCTCTCTGTAAATGAAAAGCTATTTTTGCATTTTGATCTCGCCCATGGAAATGTGGCAACATTGCTCCTGAATCTCTGCTGATGTTTCCAACCAAGTTATTTAGAATCAGACTGAATGTTTGAAGGGAAAAGTATTTTAAGGCACTTCTATGCAAATCAAACACATTTTTTTTCCTGTATAGGCTGTCACTACTATAATGAGTATCTGAAGTAAAAATAAAGAAAAACCAGAGAACACTGGATAAAAACATGGAGAATGACAGAAGAGATTCTAGAGCTAAAAGAAGACCAACGTGGAGCAAATCCAATTCCTACCCCACTACTAAACTCTCATGTAAATTAGTGCTTTCATTTCACATTCTTCTTCTCCCACCCTCTCAATCACTTTTAAATAATATTTCTGAATTTAAGGCAACCTAGTAGAAACTCTCATATTTGGTAAAAAAAAAAGAAGAAAAAAAAACAAAAACAAAAAAACTCAGGCACTTGGTGAGCCAGTTAATTTTAACTGCTTAATGTTGGCAATGGATTCAAAGTCAAAGCGCAATCCGACCAGCAGACTGTTCAGAATCTGAAATTCTAACATTGTTTCAGGTGTAACTTAGGTATTCGATTTTATAAATGGAATGACTGTCAACGAAAGCAGCACTGGCTGCAGAGATTTAATTCCATAGTTTCTCCCAGGGTTCAAGCGGTCGGGTCTGAGGCCAATTTGGTGTTCCATGAATTGAGAAGTCTGAGAATCAAGAGAGTTGGAAGATGAATTTCATCTGTTATTTCTTCTCCTTCGTCCTCTGGCTCTGCCCCTCTCTTTTTCATTCTCCCTATATACATGCTTCCCAAATTTTGCCAACATTTTTAAATCCCAGTTCGCTTCCTCTGGAGAAAGTTAACTGCCAGCAGACTGGGTACACTGCCTCCTAATACTAATCACCCAGTTCTTCAGATGATACATGAGCCCTAGTTTGTTGAGCCCAAACAGTCCTGCTGTTAGAAACACCAATAATACAGTAATAAAATAAAAACTAAAGCACGCATTAGAATAGTATCACATTGTAAGAAAGGTCACAGATAGAACTGAAATTTTTTTGTTTGCTGGTGATGGGCAATTCAAAGTCGCAAAGCCCAAGAGACTGAAGCCAGCAATGCTCTCCAGAAAAACCAGCACGTCCTCACTGTGGGTACTGCCACCACAACTGTCCAGGTGGGTGAGATGGCCCCCTAGTCACATGGAACTCTAACACCGAGTTTCTCTACACATGCACAGAAAGTATCAATTTGTACTAAATGATAAAAACAGCATTAAGCCCCATCAGTATGGTGGTGATAATTATAAATGAACAGAATAATGTAAACAGTCACTATCAAAAGCATGGACTATCAAAAGCATTCTTCCCAAACACTCTTCAACTAAGGGCTGAGTGTTAACATTTCCTTCTTCCCAAAGCAACAGGTTAGGGTCTGGTTGTGCACTGCGACATGACTCTAGCACATCTGAAATCACAAAACTGTCTCTAAAAAGACAGTTACTCATTTATATTTAGAAACAGTATTTAGATATAGTATTTAGAAAACATTTATCAGTGGTCCACTATGTGCAAGCACTATGTACTATGTGCTAGGTACTAAGGATACAATAAAAGCAAGATTGCAGAAACTCAAGATGATGGCCTAAATGTTTCTTCTAATTTTTTTCTATTTCCTTGTAAAATATTGGATTATTAGCACTGACAATATAAGGTTAAAAATAATTAGGAGCCTCCCGGGTAAAGGAAAAGAGGAAAACTAGGCAGCTGTAGCATCTGTCAGATTCTATGCTAACTTGTAATTTATGTATATACCACCTTTTCCATAAAGATTTAAGCAGCTTAGAACATATATAAAAGGTAAAAAGACGGCATAAATTAAAAATTAAAAAGAAACTCTAAAACAAAAAAAAAGGAAAACCCTAAAACAAGAAAGGGCAGCAATTATGAAAAAAGCCAGTATAGTTTAAAAATTTTACTTTTGGTAGTAAAAAAAATTGGATTTAAGCTTTCTAGTAGAGAAACCTTATCACTGTCGCCAGTTAATACCCATAAGATTTAAAAGGGGGGGAATAAAAAGGTCATTTTCTCTGAAAATGCATTAAACTAAGAATTTTTTCAGGGTTCCTTATAAAGACATTACTATAATATAATGAACAGTTATCAATTACATGACAAGCATGATATGCTCCTTAGTAAATACTTTAAAATTTATTTTCAATATATAGACCAATAGGTACTTAAAGGCCTGAAGTTCCACTTGACACAGCACAGCCTCAAAATTTTTATACTGCAAAACTTCTAGGATATGCATCTCCAGGCCCACTCGGGGCCCAAGACCTCAGTGTCCTGGAGTAGGAGGGGGCCCCTTGAGATGCATATTATCCGCAGTATCTGTGCAAGGAGGCGAACTTTAATTAACCGCGTCACTATGATCAAGAATAAGACTAGTACATTACCACCAACAGTCACAGATCTGGTCAGAGAAGGCTGTAACAAAGTTTCTTCATCATTAAACTGTTTCTTAAGTTCTTCTACAGATTCCAGGTGGAGTTGGAGAAATTCTGTTGTTGCTGCTGATGCTTCTTCTTTAACAGGGTCTATCATTCTCTTCAGAAGTCCCAGGTCATCCTTCCGGACCTTCAAACAAAGCTTCTCCATTTCTCGGATATTGGAGCGGAGTTGCTGTTAAAAAAGAAAAATCATTAAAGCCACCATATAACTTAGTATAAAATATCTTTATTTCAGAGGTAATCTGATCAATAGTTATGAGTGGAAATGATTACAAGTAATCTGTACAATAAAATGTATGCATAATACTTTTCTATTTTTCATGTCTCTGGCCAAAACCAACTAACTTCTTTAGAACTCACATCCTCATACTTTGATTTATTTAATGTTTTTCCTTCATTAAATATGATTATTACAAAGTAACAAATGCTCTTCATAACATATCAAACACTGCATATGGAGAAAACATATTGAGAAAAATTTAATAATTTTCCCACTTCACCAATCCCGCCATCTCTCTTAACCCACATTTTTCATTGTTCATGTGAGGACTCACATACCCAGCCATTTTTTCACACAAAAAATGGATTATATTAGTATAATCAATTGTGATTTGTCATTCCCCACCCCAACTTCACAACACAGCCCCGAGTGTCTCTCCTGGTCAATAGCTGCACCATATTCCATAATGTGGATGGAAGACAGTTTGCTCAGTCACTCCCCCAGTGATCAACAGTCATGCTGTTTCTGGTTTTGGGTTATTACAAACCATGAAACAAATGTTCTTGAGTATAAATCCTAATACCACAACAGTATATAATAGTATTATAGTAAATACTATTATACAATATTTTGTAGAAATGATTCTCAAAAGCAAAAGTACTCAAAGAATAATGTGAATTATTTCGATAGCTATTATCAGCTTTGCCCCCCAAAGGCTGTACCAGTTCATACTACACCAAGACGAGTACCCACTTTCCCACATTCTGCCAGTGCTACATGGAATCGCATTGTTTTTCACTTCCCATTTGTCTCTGAGTAAAGTTGCTGGATTTTTTCCAAATGATTGTCCCCTCTTTTAAAAAAACATCTATTAGCATAACCATACACTTTCCTCTAATGTGCTAATATAATGACATAGGAGCAAGTTTCATGAATAGAGCCATCTTTATATTTCTGAAATGAACCTTTCCTGGTGTGTGTGTAGAGTCTTTTAATACACTGTTGGATTCAGTTGCTAGTATTTTATTTGGAATGTGAGCAGATGAATACATGTGTGTGCACACATGTGTGCTATATGAACAACACGTGTCCACGCTGCTGTTATAGGTTTAAACTCACTTGAACGGGTTCAAGGTGTGCTAGCTCCATCACCTGAGGAGGTTTCCGTCTTTTCAATGGTCTGTGCTTTGAAAAACATAACAACCAACTATTCTTTGACAAATAAAATTAACTTACAAGAATAATCTCAGTATAATTTAAAAAATCATAGATCTCTATCCATACATTATTTTAAATTCTTTTCCCTTAATGTATTTTTCAAGGGTACTTATGCAAATGCTATATAGAAGACAGGAGAGAAGTATTAATTTCTTTAATTTCTGAAGAGCATACTCTACAGTGAGGAGTTACATCCAGTATTATTACATTCCACATTGTTACATATAGATAAATTGTTAAAAAGGAGTTCAGAATTTATTTAATTATATAGCAGCAAAGCCAGGGTTAAGACCAAGTATTCTTAAAAGTCCAGCACTCTTTCCATTAAACTATAAGCATAATTCCTGTGTACATGGCACCTTAATACAAGCTAAAGTATGCATTTTATTTTAGTAAAATTAAAGCCAATTCTGAAAATAAAGTTCACCTACAACCTAAGGTATCCTGTAAGACTTTCTGGGTGAACCAGAAGCACGTGCCTCTACCCCACCGTGCCTCTCGGCCTCCTCTAACCACGTGTCCACTCTCACCATCTGAATGTGCACTGGAAACCTGAAGATCACTGAATGCCGATCAGCGCGAGCATCAGCGTGTAGAACCTTGGGAAGCCCGCTTGCTCATCGAACTCAACCTCATGATTTCACAAGAAGGAAACTGGAGCCCAGATGAACACGGTGGCAGAATCAGGACTATAACCCAGGTGTCAAACCCTGAAAAAATACTGTTTCCCACACACCACTATCTCTTGGCTGTGTGACTCCTTAATTGGGCAAATTAAACCAAAATTAGTTATGTGATAAACAGCTAAAATTAAAGTTCAACTTTATCAAATATTGGCAAGAATTTGGCACCCAAAGGGACTCACCTTCATTGGAAGGACTGTAAAATTAGTACAACTACCTTGGAAAATAGGTTGGCATCATTAACTAAAGTTGAAAATAAGGATGCCTGGTGAACCAGGAATTCCTGTCCAAGGAATACTACTCAACAGAAATGTGTGCACATGTGTACCAGTAAAAATATCCAAGAATGTTAACGAAACTGGAAACACCCAAATATCCCTCAATAGAATGGGTACACTATGATATAAACTCATAAAATGAGATTTATACAGCAAAGAAAATGAATGAACTACTGCTATAGACAACAAAAGCCAGGAACAAAAGATAAATTCTGTTTAATTCAATGCACGTAATGTTCAAAAATAAACTGAACTATAGTTTTAATGACACATTTGTATGGCAAAACTATACAGAAAAGCTAGGAAGTAGTTACCATATAAATCAAACTCATGATTAGTTCTGAGGGGAGAGAGGTAGTTATAACCGGGAAAGGCATCTTAAATGCTGGTGATTGTCTGTTTATCTGAGTAGCGGTTACACAAAGTTCACAGTATAATTTGTTTAGGTATATATTTATGTTTCGTATATTTTAACATGTTATATTTCACAGTAAAAAGTGTTAACAAGAATTTTAGAAAATAAAATGATACTCACTTGTATGAATTGTTAACCTCAGCACAGAAACAAGTTTGAAAGCATCTGGGTAGGGGTGAAGTGAGTAGCTATCTCTTTGTGGAAGTATATTCGGTGCCACCTTGCTGGATGAAATATACTTATTCATTCATTGGACTAGACTCGAAGGTTTGTAGGAACGGGGTCTATGCCTATTCTCTGCACCGTCGTACCCTCAAGGCCGTGTTTGATCCCTGACATAGTTTGATTTAATTAAACATAGTAAATGAAGGCATGCTTTCTGGTTATTTTCCACAAAGGGGCAAAGCAGTGGTCCAAGAATAGGGATCTCCAACTGTCAAGAAACTAGCTAGAATTGTTCCCTAGGAAAGCATAATTTAAGTCCTAGCATATGAAACATCTCATCTTCCATTAGTTGGAAAAGTAATAAGAGGAATGACTTTTTAGGAATTAATTCTGACATACAAGCATAAAATAGTGAAGTGGGAATGAAACCCATGAGAGAAAGCAATCACGTTATCCTGGAATTCATAACACAACAAGGAATACTGAGAAGAGTGATAATTCAGGGAATTGAATCAAGTTTAGAGAAAACAGTTGTATGATGCTGATGGCAGAAATTATATTGTGATAGGATCTTTTCTAAAAGAGAGATAGCTTCTAAAAACTGAAATTATGACAATGAAAAAATGTTAATCTGATAAGAAGAAAGAGAAAGTGGCATCTCAAAAATCCAATATAGCTGCGTAAGGCACGCTGTGACGAGTTCAGAATTTTAAGAGACTTAAAGAAAAGGAATGAAGAGGCAGGCATGTGAACGAGGATGAATACGAAAGAGAGGCATGAAATGAGAATCGTGTAAGTAACGTAAGGGCCCGGAATGAGCGGAGGCTGGTGAAACACGTTAAGAACAATAACAAGGATTTAAGGAATACACGTAGAGCAAGAAGAACAGGAAAGACGTTTTAGGCCCACTGCTTGGGGCAGATAATATAATGGTAGCAGATGATGCAGAGAAAGTAGAACCACTTAACGCCTGTTTCACTTGAGATTCCCTTAAATATTAAGGAGAAATATTCAAAACTGAAAGGGGCATAAGAAACGTGCTCAGAGGACACGTGGAACGCCTTATGGTATCTGGACAGGCTTCATTAAGGGGGTAAGATCTGAGCTGTCCCTAAAGAATAATACTGGGAAAACAGAACCTACGAAATAGAAAGGATAGACTAGGAAAAAATAGAAGTAAAGTAGAAGGGTAGAAGCTTTCTGAGTATTATATTTCATCAATGTTAGGACACAGTATCTTTTCAACATTTTAATGTCTCTGAAACTGGAATTCATCTTACAATACATGATAAAAAATATTCTGTCATTCTAAGCTGGCACCACTTTTTCCTTCTTAGAGGTATTCAAAATAACGGTGTATGTTCCAGCCCTGGCTGGGTGGCTGAGTTGATTAGAGCATCATCCTATGCACTGAAAAGCTGTGGGTTTGACTCCTGGTCAGGAACGTCTAGGTTGTGGGCCCGAGCCTTGGTCGGGTACATGTAGAAGGTAACCAATCAATGCTTCCATCTCACATCGATGTTTCCCCCTCTCTCTTTCCATTCTCCAAAAACATCAGTGTAAAAAAATCTTCAGATGAGGACTAAAGAATAATGGTACATTTACAATCGATGGTGCCTTGTGTTTTATTTCCTCCCTAAGGTTCTACAGTCAGAGGAAAGGTCAGGGATCCTAAATCCCGATTAATCAGCTCATGAATGTTAAAAGACCAAATTTAAGTTTAAATTTCTCTGAAGCTTATAATAACCTGAAAAGAGTACCTTCTACATTCACTTTGGAATCTGTTTTATCTTCTCTTTCATTCTCTACCTGGCTGTGCTTTGCTCTAATCTTTTCTCTCAACTTCTGTCTACTATCCTTACTTTTCCCTCTTTCCTCCTGATTCCTTCTCAGTTCTACTGCTTCTTCCTTTTAAATTGTTTTTTAAATATGTTATTGATTATGTAATGATTATTACAGTCGTCCCAATTTTTCCCCCTTTGCCCCCCTCCACCTGGTATATACAATTCCCTCTGGCAATACCCCACTCAGTAGTTCATGTCCATGGATCATGCATATAAGTTCTTTGGCTATTCCATTTCCTATACTGTTCTTAACAATACCAATTTGTATTTCTTAACCCCTATAACTTTTCCCCTTTCTCCCCCTCTCAACTGATAACCCTCCAAATGATCTCCATGTCTCTGATTCTAT